TTAACATCTTCTCGCTTCAACCCCACCTTTCAATTCGTCTCTTACAATGACGCAGCTGGAGCACGCACGCGAAAGAGACACCCATGAGTGAAACAAATGACTGCGTGTTCTTATTCAAAGCCTTTTATGGAAGCAAAAAAAAAAAATCCAAAAAGTGTCCTAAACAGCCCATCTGGTCATATATATGTCCAGTCCTCGCTCTCTCGTCCTGTTTTAATTCAGATGTATTTTAATATTATCCCCACGTCTAAGTTTCGTTCATATAAACGGATACTCCCGTCAGAATTTAAGAAACACGCATCAAGTAAGTTCAAAATTTTAAAGTAATGCTTACATTTTTAAGTCAGTTAAACGATAAATCTCGTTGGAAACACTTCCACTGCGCGAAATCTCCCTCAGACGCACGATTCTTTCGTAGTGAAGTTAATGTAGACAAGGCAAGAGGTTAGGAACACCCGACACAAATTCCGAAACGAGTTCAAAGTAACTGAGGAAAAACTTCGGCGTAAGGAACAAATTACCTCGCATTTTAAGCGCGCATTACCACGGGTTCCTTGGTCTTCCACAGCCTACAACCAAACGCGTAAATATTTAGGCACGAACAATAACAACGCCATTCGGGTCACAGCACGTACTTACGCGCGTGCGCGTAACTCACCTGCCACCCCCGTACAAGAACGTTTAATAAATGCGTAATAACCACGCGTTCACTGTCACGCCAAAACGATGTTTAACGAGACAAGTGCTTTCAAATTTCAATAAAACTGCTCCGTCACTAAAAAATGTGGTGGAAGAACGACTATTAGCTTCTCGTGAGAAATTCTGTGGTTCTTCCTACGTCAAACCACCCGGTGCCAAGACAAAATGACTGGCCACAATTTTACCAATCGCAACCTAGTTTCACACCCAAACAGTACACAACGTAAAATTATATATGGCGAGATTCCGGTTCTCATGATTCCGCGTAAAACGTGTAAAATTTTTCATCTAAGTTATGAGAAAATTAATAAATAAAAAATTGAAAGCTAGAATCTGAGACGCTCGGCCAGCGGCCCCAACAGCTCGGGTTTGACCTTGAAACTGCTTTTTCATTAAAATTTAAGACCATGGACAAATTCCTGGAAAATCAGCCTCACAGATTAGTCTGGGGGAAGATTACCGACGTTGCAGAGGTGATGGGAGGCAGGAATCCACCTCCCAGAAGACGGAGTCATCTTCCTCTCGCCTATTATCATATCATTTACGTACTGAAGATTATAAAAATGAACCAGAGAAAGCGTTGGTCTGATTTCTTTCGTAAATGAGTCTTTAAAATTTCTTTTGGCATATTTTCGTTATACCTTCCGAAACTGACTTCAAATTTTGTTTTCTTTCAATTTAATAAAATGACAACTGATTTTTTTACGAGGTTTCAATCGGTCTTAAACAAATCTTCCCATTCCTGAGAGCTAAAAACATTTACTACGTTAAATTCACACCGCGACATTTCTTACGTAAACTTAAAACACCATACTCACAGTTTAACAACACTTGCAAATATCCAAACTGTTTCCGCTTTGGTAAAATTAAATCTGTTAACTGTTAAAACACTCGTAACACGGCGAAATAAATCGATAGTGGGGGGGGAGCCAATGAAATGAATTTCGCGACGACAAAGTCACATCACCGCCATCACGACTACAAACGAGCGATGCGAGGGTGACGGGTTACGTCGAACGAGGCTGGGAGCGGCTCTGACCGCGAATCTCTCATCCTGAAGAGGCAAGGCGCTCGCCAGTTGCTAAGCGACCATCCGACACGCACAAGCAGAACTGTTTGCACTCCCCGCCCGTCGCCTGCGATACCTTGCGGTGTTCACACCCAGCACTGGAGGGAAATCGCGACATTCGGGCCGGGAACAGATCACATGACCTCACGGCACTAGTTTCTGCTACCAGGCGACGTGGGTTTCGTACACAACAGTTCGGGGAACTCGCGTTGAGTCACCATTAACTCTCCGCTTTATAAACGTCGTCCTAGTCTCGTGAAAATGTAACGGGAAACCGAAATTTTACGAAGGAACATTACTTCAAGCCACACGAAACGAAACACAGATTATAGACGTGAATTGTTTGACGACATCTTCTGTCAGAGCCACAGAGAAAACTTTCAAACTCTGGGCTGACGGTGTTCCGGGTTTTGATGTCGTCTAGACTCGTGGGTAACATTTCAAACAGCCAATCTTCATAAGCCAAAAGTAACATCGTCATTTTCACCGACGTAAAAAACCTAAAATCTCACAAATTTATCGACTTATTCCGACTGACAAACGCAACGTCAATGTGGACTATGGGCCAAATCCAGTCAATGGAATTAAGATACTCGCGGGAGCCACAAATCCACCTGACTCGTGCGATCGTAGGGCGGAAAGTTCTGTTTCAACAACCACGCGCCTTACAGAATTAATTTTAATATCAACCCACGCCAGATTCACATTTTTTCTTCTATTGAGAACCGAATTTTCTAAATTTTATTTACGCAGAATCTGCAGGAAGTCGTTAAAAGTTACGTCAGTCCAAGATCGCTTACGCTCTCACCCACCTCCACCGAACGAAATGACGTAGTTGAGTCTCGGTCACGCGCGATGAAATGCTTTTAGCTCAATGTCCAGATCCGTAGAGCCGGAAGAATTATCGCATCACTCATTTTAAACGAGCAGTTAAGATTTTTTATGTTGGCGAGTCGAAAGTCCGTGGCACCGGGGGTCTGAACAACACGGGGCTGTATATTTTTTCCTGTAATTAACAGTTACGTGGCGCCTGACAGAACTTTTTATGTAGTAAACAAATTCTATCTCTATTCTCGGTTTACGAACATTTCGATATAACGAACGTAAAAATTCATTCAAAAATTTCTTAAAGTCGCCAATAGCTCAGAGAATGCAAGATACACGTAAGGAACGTCTTGGAACGTAACTCGACAAAATATTTTCAGAACGTTTATACAACAGAGCGTAAGAAGTGACGATACTTGATTACGGCGAAAACAATTACGTCCAGTTTTGAACGTCTAAAATCTTTCGGTACAACAGAAATCCTTCAAATATACGCTGATATGCCTTTAACAGCTGTTGGACGTAATTTCTTTATTTTTCATTACAATCCCACGCGTATTTGGGGGCCGCGGGGACAAAATTGTGAGAGGAACCTGTCAAGACCCCCGGACGACTCCGGACATCTGCACTCTGCTGGGAGGGGAGGGGAGGGGAGGGGAGGGGAACTGACCGGGCAAACAAGCACAGCGTTAGTACTCTCCGATGAAAGGAAGATTTGTGCACAAAAACAAATGAGGTCTTTCACAGCGAACAGACGTTGAAAGCTGACGCGGATGAGTGCAACGGCAAGTAATTCATGCCCATTCGTCGGATTCAGAGCGTCGATTTGTGCCAGAAAATTGAATTCCAGCGGCAAATTTAATCGACAAAACGCGCGGAACAACACGAATTTCAACACGTACTTTCAGCCCACGCAAAAACGTGCGAAACGTCGGACCCATGTACATGTAAGAGTCACTGTACGATCCCGTCCTGAAGATTAGGGCAGGATGTTCATCCGAAACGTTGGGATATCAACCCACAAGTTCACACGACATTAGAACCCAGAAGAGAGAGAGCGTAATTTCGGATAAAACGCGAAAAGAACGCCTAGCTGCAGACATCGATCAAACGAACAACGAAAAGATGACTCGACCGAAACGTCTGCAAATAAAACAACATAAAGGCGCAAGATACGACCTCTTGAATCTTGGGATACGAAATTTGACACACGTCCGGGCACTGCGAATAAGTTTAACGTCCGTCTGTTTCGCACCAAAAAAAAGGTCTATCTAAAAGGAGTACCTGACCTAAATCTGATTTTTTTTTTTATTTATTTTTTATTTTCCAGAAATCGTATAAACCGTCCCCAGCCGAGCTTACAAAACTTCCAAACAGGAGACCACAAAGTTTTTTTCGAGACCGCTCAATAATAAACAGAAATATTTTTAGCGTAGAAACGGGGATTCTAAAATTCCAGTCATCCGGAAAAAGAACAGGGCGACGTCAATTACGAATCCACGAAATTCCACGCGCAGTCTCAGACACTTCCAGACGACAAGAAAACACGTGACGTAATCACTTTTCTGAGCTGGTGACAGCCTCCCTATAAGGACGCTACCTCGTGACTCGGGAACAAAACAATATTAAAAATCTCATCCACAAGACGCAACATCTGCGTCTCTGTACATCAAAATGGTTCTTACTCTGCGGCACGACGCAGATTAACTCCTGGAAAAAATATAAAACTCTCTTATCCGAATCATCTCGAGGTTCTGACAACGAAGACCTCTCCAAAACTCTTCAGGATCTGAGGTCCTCTGGGTTTCAGCGTCGAACGCTTCGGAGGTCCCTCCTGCCTTCATCATCAGGGCAGATGACAGCCACTTCCAAAACTTTATGCCTTCCATTCGTGACCAATTTACGAGACTGGCCCGTCCAGGTCTTTGTGCGCGTACTTCACTTCCGTCAGCACACGGTTCCTCGACGTGCGACGTCGCCAAGAGCCATTTAAGACAGTGAGGATATTTGGTGGCAATTCCTAATCGTAGCAGCGTCCGCCAAATATCACCGACGCCTCGAGGCCGTGGCAAAATACGCTTAAAAGCTCAACTGCAGATCAACTGAGCTTCTGGAGCGTTCGACTCCAGACGTCGGAAAATCTTGGTTCTGGCATCCGAACGCAGTCTTACAGATTCATAGCACAGAGCGAGATGGAGACACAAGAGAAAGAACGAGGTCTCCACCAGAAGTCACGCGCACATGCACATCAGCAAAGCAGACGAGAAATTTAATAAAAGAAATACACAAATACTCCTCCAAGAGAACGCAGCACCCGATAAACTCTTGGTCACTTGTGGTAGGTCCATGGAGGAGCGAACGTGACACATGCACATCAAATAAAAGAATAAATCACTGAAATACTCACGTTTTCCTTTCCGATGAAGACGTTGCTACCAGATCGTAGATCTGCGCGCCGTTCTGGGAAGTGTTGACGAGGTACAAGGCCTTCTTATCTAAAAGGAACAAAATTGAACATTGCAGGCGATGTTTTACTGTGCACTTGGCATTTAAGTAACCGAGCGCGTCTGTGCACAGAGAGCGGGATCCGCTCTGATGTTAAAGCGACGGGCTCATCCCACAGAGCATGCGCACGCAAGTTGGCAGCGCGAAGACGGGAACGTAAAGATTTAAGGGAGCAAAAAATGTCACAGGGGATTTTAAGATTTTCAAAGTTTTTAAAATGTAAAAATCTCACAGGCAATTTTAAGATTTTCAAAGTTCATAAAATGTAAAAATCTCACAGGCAATTTTAAGATTTTCAAAGTTCATAAAATGTAAAAATCTCACAGGCAATTTTAAGATTTTCAAAGTTCATAAAATGTAAAAATCTCACAGGCAATTTTAAGATTTTCAAAGTTCATAAAATGTAAAAATCTCACAGGCAATTTTAAGATTTTCAAAGTTCATAAAATGTAAAAATCTCACAGGCAATTTTAAGATTTTCAAAGTTCATAAAATGTAAAAATCTCACAGGCAATTTTAAGATTTTCAAAGTTCATAAAATGTAAAAATCTCACAGGCAATTTTAAGATTTTCAAAGTTCATAAAATGTAAAAATCTCACAGGCAATTTTAAGATTTTCAAAGTTCATAAAATGTAAAAATCTCACAGGCAATTTTAAGATTTTCAAAGTTCATAAAATGTAAAAATCTCACAGGCAATTTTAAGATTTTCAAAGTTCATAAAATGTAAAAATCTCACAGGCAATTTTAAGATTTTCAAAGTTCATAAAATGTAAAAATCTCACAGGCAATTTTAAGATTTTCAAAGTTCATAAAATGTAAAAATCTCACAGGCAATTTTAAGATTTTCAAAGTTCATAAAATGTAAAAATCTCACAGGCAATTTTAAGATTTTCAAAGTTCATAAAATGTAAAAATCTCACAGGCAATTTTAAGATTTTCAAAGTTCATAAAATGTAAAAATCTCACAGGCAATTTTAAGATTTTCAAAGTTCATAAAATGTAAAAATCTCACAGGCAATTTTAAGATTTTCAAAGTTCATAAAATGTAAAAATCTCACAGGCAATTTTAAGATTTTCAAAGTTCATAAAATGTAAAAATCTCACAGGCAATTTTAAGATTTTCAAAGTTCATAAAATGTAAAAATCTCACAGGCAATTTTAAGATTTTCAAAGTTCATAAAATGTAAAAATCTCACAGGCAATTTTAAGATTTTCAAAGTTCATAAAATGTAAAAATCTCACAGGCAATTTTAAGATTTTCAAAGTTCATAAAATGTAAAAATCTCACAGGCAATTTTAAGATTTTCAAAGTTCATAAAATGTAAAAATCTCACAGGCAATTTTAAGATTTTCAAAGTTCATAAAATGTAAAAATCTCACAGGCAATTTTAAGATTTTCAAAGTTCATAAAATGTAAAAATCTCACAGGCAATTTTAAGATTTTCAAAGTTCATAAAATGTAAAAATCTCACAGGCAATTTTAAGATTTTCAAAGTTCATAAAATGTAAAAATCTCACAGGCAATTTTAAGATTTTCAAAGTTCATAAAATGTAAAAATCTCACAGGCAATTTTAAGATTTTCAAAGTTCATAAAATGTAAAAATCTCACAGGCAATTTTAAGATTTTCAAAGTTCATAAAATGTAAAAATCTCACAGGCAATTTTAAGATTTTCAAAGTTCATAAAATGTAAAAATCTCACAGGCAATTTTAAGATTTTCAAAGTTCATAAAATGTAAAAATCTCACAGGCAATTTTAAGATTTTCAAAGTTCATAAAATGTAAAAATCTCACAGGCAATTTTAAGATTTTCAAAGTTCATAAAATGTAAAAATCTCACAGGCAATTTTAAGATTTTCAAAGTTCATAAAATGTAAAAATCTCACAGGCAATTTTAAGATTTTCAAAGTTCATAAAATGTAAAAATCTCACAGGCAATTTTAAGATTTTCAAAATTTTAAAATGTAAAAATCTCACAGGCAATTTTAAGATTTTCAAAAATTTTAAAATGTAAAAATCTCACAGGAGATTTTAAGATTTTCAAAGTTTTTCAAATGTAAAAATCTCACAGGAGATTTTAAGATTTTCAAAGTTTTTAAAATGTCGAGTCGTCTTGTGGGTGGTCGGCGACTTTCAAGAGGGCCCCATCTTCGGTGCAGAGGCGATTCATTCCTCCAAAAAAAATTTTCTTATACACCGTCACGACCCAGAAGATCACACAATTCACAAAAATTTTAATTTCCGCTTAACCAATTTCAAAAGAAATTAAAATTGCACTTTGCACCCACAGCGAACGAAACTTACGACACAATTTGAAAATTGATATAAATCATAATGAAAGTATCAGAACCATGGTCTGGTAAGAGTTTCACTCGCCTCTACAACGCAAATAATTTATTTTATAAGCCTCTTTATATATAAAAAGAAGAAGAAGTAAAGTTGTCCCGCTATACGCCACGTAAGGTTCTTGACCTCGGCGGTAGAGAGGGTCGAGTGGTCAGCGTCACGCCCCGGACGCTCTTTACCCCCTGGGAAATGACCCAGGGACCCATTGGACAGGAGGCTGGGTGGGCCCCAGAGCCGGTCTGAACCCTGGAGGCTCAAGGAAAAATTTCCTCTGCCTCTGTCGGGGATCGAACCCCGGTCGTCCAGTCCGTACCTCAGACACTGCACTGACCGAGGCCGTCCTGTCCCGAGTCTCAGATTTCAGAGCGACGACTCACCTACGGCATTCGGCCTCACTAGGACTGTCGACACTTTGATGACGGGGCTGAGCGTGGGACTCCTCTCGCCGCCGCCGCCGCTGGCAGTGTTCATGTTGTAGAACTTGAGGACGTACTTCTCGTCCTGCTTCTGGAGCAAGATGATCACGTCGTCCAACAGCAGCACGTGGAGGTCTATCAACTTCTGCCGGTTTCCGATTCGCCAGTTCAGCGAGCCCTCGTGGATCAACCGGTGTTTCGTCAGGTCCAGGTGCTGCGGAGCGAAACAAAACAGAAACTTAAAACAGTCGAGTAAATTCGACGACGCTGGTCGAAGTTCAAAATTTATGACGAATCTTTTCTCAAATTCACAACAAAAGCCCACAAATAAAAGACGGTAACGAGAACACAAAAAGAACAGTTTTGTTGGTACCGTCAGGTCATGAAATTACTTCCAGAGAAAATCTCCGTTCGTCACAGTCGTAACATCCAAAAGCGAGCAACTTCGCACGTACTTTGAACTCGGAAGCCATCGGATGTTCCACTTTCTCGAAGCCCGACTTGTCTAATCTCTTCTGGATGTCCGTCAGCCTCTGAATGTCCTCGGCCTCCCTCACGGCCTGGTTAACGTGGTTCAGGATTTCTTTGCTGCGCTCCACAGCTCGCAGCACGCTTATCAGCTCCTCCGTGTCTTCTTCCGTGTACTTCGCTAGGTTCTCGAACAACAGAGGATACTTGGTAAGCCTGGAAAACACAAAAACACACTGCATCTGCGAGCACGGCGGGCGAAGGCGATGACGTTAAAATCTGTTCCCATTTTCGTGAGAACACGTGTATGTGCGCGAGCATTTATTTTCTGTACTGTAAAATGTAGATAATAAAATAAAGTTTCATGGACTGAAACACAAGTAAAAATTCAACAACGCTCGAGAATTTTATTAAATTATAAATTCACCAAAAATGAGACAGCTCAGATGTAATTAACACATTTCTGGTCTTATACGTCCACCGCGCAAAGTTAAAAATTACTATTAGGGAGTACACGTGTTTCATCTTCGTTCGAATGCCACGCGGGAACGCCTGCTTTTATACGATACGTGGAGACATCAATGAGACAGCGAACGCGGAAGAGGTAACGTCGTCAGTACAAACCTCTGCATGGCGGTAGGTATAATGTCTTTGAGTTGCAGCCTCCGACACACAGAATTGCCCTCGGCATCGGTCAGGAAGTTGTTCAGCTTTGCTTCTTTCCGTCGCCGCTCCTTCAGTAATTCCAGAGCTATCTGTTGTCGCGCACAGAACGTTGCCGCCGCTCGCTGGAAATTTTCGCCCGCGGGACCATCAAACTAGAAGCAACCAAGTTTTAAGGTACATTAAATTGTTCTGGAAGACGTAGGTGTTGAGCGTTCATAAGATATTCAGTGTGAAAAATTCAAAGAGTCTAACTTCAGGTTTCAGGTTCTAAAGATGAAAAATTTTATTGGAAGTAAAAAAAAAATCTCAATTATTTTACGGAACGTCTTACATGTGATCTTCGCGGTGACTTTTTTAATAATATCTGAGCGTATTCTGTAACTGAAGTGTGTCTGATCCTTATTCGCAATTCATTAAAGAATTTTCTAAAAATAAATAGAGGTTGAACAGCCAAAATCAACAAAACTTAAAAATAAATAAACATAATTTGACATTAATAAAGCGTTCAACGACAAGACGGA